TTTCTGTGAAGGGTTTGGTGTTGGAACATAGAGGTTTCTGTTTGCTTTTGTGAATGGGTTTCTGATCTATGCACTGAACCCATTAGATGTTAGTGCTTTTGCATGCATGACTGGGAAAGGATTTAATGATCCAGAAGGTCCATTTGAGGTCTATATAAGTAAAAAACCCAAACCATAATCTACTATCTGCGTATGCAGACTGATCTCCACATTTTCTGTTTCACAGAGGATGTTTCTTATATTTTCAATTTGTCACTATAAATAGGGCTGGTCAGAAACATCTCAATCTTTAAATTATTATAATTTGATGAGGTTTTTAAAACCTCAACTTAATTTTTTTTCCTGCAATACTCCAGTATTAGTGCTATTGATAAAGAATTATCAGCCAATAATGGAATTTTCACTTGAAAAAGAGACAGGCACAATAGTAGATGTAGTCTGGGAAATCAGCAGACTTGAAGTTTGGTAGAGAGGGGTTTCACTCTCTGTGCTATGCATTGCTAGTCCTTGGTCCATGTACCTGCATGCAGACTATTTTAAGCTGTGCATAGACATAATCCCTATCGTTCCTAGTGCCCCCTATCAAACTGAAAAGCTGTACAAAATCTTAGGTTCATATGGATTTAAAACCCTCCCCATCTTACAAATATTTGAGGATGAAAAAGTTCTTGTTTGGAAGCAAACTTCAGCTGCCCTTTCTTGACCCATAATCCAACCACTGCTTACAACAGTGAAACACTGCAACATGATTTTAATTTGAAAAACTTGTTTATTAATCGAGTAGCTTTTCTAGTGTTATGCTTCTTAATATACCTCATTTTTGGAACTGTGGAACTAACTTCTTCCACACCTTTAGAAACACATGGAGAAACTTTGAGACGTGTTTTCTCAACATTTTGAATTGTTCTGGTGTCTCTTGTGAGCAGAGCTCACTGCAAGATCATAAACAAGTTTCACAGAAACATTTCAGTTCTTCATTCAGCATTCTGTATTTTCAGCCTAGTCCAAAGGACAGATTTGATTCATGGAGAACAGAGCTGTCTTGGCATTAATTTCTAAATGAAACCTGAGGATGGCAAACTGCATGTGTGTGTATATATTCACACCAGGAATTAGGGCAATAGACTATCTTGTAAATTGTCCCCGGTCAATTATAATTTTCTTTAAAAAGTCCTTTGTCTCCACAGATGTGGTATCTTTGGCTAGGTAGTATTTTGCAAGCAAGGAAAAGAAAATCAGCTCTTTCAGTAGGGATACACATTAATTTAATTGCTGCTATTGTATTTTTCCATATCAGCAAAGTACAACCTGCATTATTTTTCCGGTGGTGTAATTTTTTCTAATATTCTTTCCAATTCAATAGCATTTTCCAAGGTGAAAATCTCAGCTGTTTTCTGCTACAGTCTCCCACCTAGGAAGAGCATTTAAAATCAGTTGTATCAGCAGTTTGTTCTTGCTGGCATCGAGATTATATTTTCTTCCCCCGCCTGTGTATCCTAATGCCACAGCTCCGCTTATGAACCAGCCAAGCAAAATGAAAGCTTCCAGGCTTTCTAGCAACAGGAGTCTCCCAGGCAAAGGAGATTGTGTACCCAAACAGTCGTGTGTTATGGGCAGAAATCTTCCTGTCTGATTATGGAGATCTTTGCATAAATTTGGTTATGGCAGGATTTCGCGCTAAATCTGACACACAGTGAGAAAGTTATGTGGGGGGAGAAAGGGTGAGTAAACTGCTGATGTGAATGTAGCAGACTTCATTCTGGTTCTTCACTGACTTTAGACCTTATGACTTGAGAGTGTAGAACTTCATACTGTCCTAATTAGGCTGCCAGGGGAGAGAAATTATTTAGATCTTTGTTTAGTATTCCGTAGAAGTGGTAAGTCCTACAAGAGTGTCAGCTAGATCCATGGACCTCTCTAGGGAAGGAGGAGAGTTAAGGAAGCATGCTGATAATTTAATGCATACAAATGCTGGACAAGAATATCTAATCAAAATGCTGCTGTTGTGATAGACGCTGTTTTAATTTGTCTCCAGTTATAGGTGATATTTTCTGTATTTTCCCTCTTTGTGGTTGTCTTCTATGGAGTTGTAAATGTATAATTAATGCACATAGAAATGTACACTAGCCATATTATTAAAATTTAGCATGGCATTAGCTTTCAAAAATGAATAGCAAGTTGAAGTTAAAGCTGTAAAAAAAACCCAAAACACTGTTCTGGGAAGAGCTCCATCATACAAAGAGTTGAAATTTATCTCAATATTATTTTATTAGAGCTTTTTAATTACTATAGCGGATAAGCAGATCTGGCCATTATCTTTGCAGAACATTTGTATTAATAATGTCATACAATTTACAATGATGGCTACAAAGTATTCTCCTTTAAGAGCTTAGTTTAAGCTGATATGCAAAAGCTAATTTTCTGCAGGGTAGAGAATTCCCTGTTCTCTTCCACTGGGCTCCCAGGTCACAGCTACTTTTCTCAGCTGAACCATAGCCCTCCTTTAACCAATACAGCCAAAGAAAACACACAAAATCCCTCCCTGAGCATATCGATAATAACAAGTTTTGAATGCATGCATGGTAGACAGAACATTAGTCACCTTTTGTATTTTAAAGCAATCCTGCTGTTTACAGAATGTAAGACAAGGTCATTTTGCAATTCAAAGCTATAGTTTCAGTTACCTTCCAGATACTTTTTTGGGTTGTGTTTTCTTTCTATTTTTTTTTCTTAGATCCATAATATGAAGCCCAACAATTTATTTATTTCAAAGTGCACCTTTGTTACTTTGTTTGTTAGTGGGATATTTGTAGCTATGATAAGGAATGAAAGAAAGAGTTCACATACCATATATTCCAGCTTACCTATCCTCTTCAAAAAATTGTGTCAAGTTCTAACACTGGATTTGAATTTGAAGTAGTGATAGTCTTTTTGTAATGTTACAGAACTTACTAAAGTCCTACACATGCTGTTCATGCTTTGGAATGATATCCATATTTAAATATTTCAGGTAGGAGTGATATTTTTTGTGAAAAATTAAGCAAATAATTATTTATGGATATATTTCATGCTATTTTGTTCTGTATTTTATCTCTGGGAGATCTCGTCTCTGTATTCTGAACACACATAATGATGCAATGAAGAAATTCAGGGTTTGCAGTAGCACCGCGAGAAATAATACCCATTTCAGCTTGTAATGGGAATTTTAAAGAACTGCTGAGAAGATTTCAAATATCTGTATTGGCTGCAAACAAGTTTTTGTCCTTGAATTATCTTGACTTCATTTAATTCAGGACAGTTCAATGTTTACAGTATAACTTCACAGTGCTCAGAATCAGACATAGAAAAGGACCATTAAGATATGTTAAATTCCCTCTTCTTTGCAGGTCAAGGCAGTATTGTTCTTTAAATAGCATTTTTCTGTCATTTGCCTGCCCTGGATAAAGATTTATTGGCCTGATTTTGAAAAAGAAACAGCTACAGGAAACAAGCCACACAGAATGAAGATAAGAAGGCTTTCAATTCTGAAAGCTGATAAATGTGGATCCTGATATTCATGCTAAAATACTGCAGGAGTGTCTTGAAAAGTACTTTGAGGGTGACTCCTGCCAATAAATGTAGAATCGTAAGTAAGGGTGTCCACTTATGTCTTCAGGGCATGAAAATGTAAGTACTTTCTGAAACAATCAAGTTTACAACCTTAAGATGCTGCAGTTGTGTGCTATGAGGAATGAACGATCTTTTAGGAAGCTGATACAAAAGAAAGGTTGAACTTGTAGTCATATCTGTTCAGACTTTTTTCTTTGAACTCTGAGTCTTAGATACTAAGCACCCAGTGGAAAAAAAAAATACAAGATATTATTCTCTTAATTTTAAAAGTAAAATAGATTGTAGTTTTTATGTGGAAACTTTAAGATTTACCCTTTGTCTGCTGACTAAAGGGAAGTGCTTTATCAGAGGGAGAAGTTAGGAATTGCACAGCCAGCAGTAGAATGCTGGAAAATTTGATTTATGCAACTGAGAGTACCCTTCCTTTCCAATTCTACTGCAATTATTAACAAAATAATAAATAGGAGCATGATTTAGCATTTATGAGAAATAGCTAATATAAGTGGTTTGCACAAATATCTGTTTTAAAAAGCTTTCGTACAGCTCTTTCTGGTCACAGTCCATGGGTCTTATAAATAATTTGCAGATCAATGTGGAAAATGGCACAGTTTAAACAAAAAAAAAAAAAAGAGATAACAAATGTAAGCTGCAGAGTTTGGTGATGTTGGATGGTTTATCATGAGATATGACTCAAACAGGTTGGGTATTTGCTAGTTAGAATGTCTTTACCTAAAATTCCCTTCTTGCAGTATGTTTATTATTATTATTATTATGTTAAATTCTGTTAGCTAGTTTTGCAATATTAGCAACATTCTCCACACTGCCCTCCAAATTTTTAAAGCCACAACTTCTTCAGTGAAATGAAGGAGCATCTCCTACCGGCATCTCCTTTCATGTGAGCATTTTATTTTACAGTTTAATCCTGTCTTTAAAAACTTTTTCTCCTTGATTTATGCATCCTTTGTCCTCCTCTTCTCTGTAAATCAAGGGCCCCTTCATGGTCATCTTTTAGTCCCTTGATAAGCACTAGAAAAGGGAAAAAGACTTAAAGTACTATCTAAAATCATCACTGACGGCACGTGAGGTAGTGATCCTTGAAATGAGCAGGGCAGCTCAAGTTGAGAGTTACAGTCCCTGATCAAAATCCCAAGGAAAGCTCTCCATAGCTGAAATCCCTCTTTGCAACTGGAGCAGTTATGGACAGCAAACTGCAGCGTAGTGGGTTGTCATGCTCCAAGTTACTCTATTTCAGCTCTGCTGAGGTAACTGTCCTCATGCTTACACACAGCATATGTGAAGTAGTGCCACTTATTTTGAGCTTTTGTCATCTGGAGAATCCTGGGTCCGTGTTTGCTGAGTTTCTTTATTTTGCTTTTCCTTGACAGAGAGATTGGCTTCCGAGAACAGGATTCACACTAGTCTGTTAGCACAGCACAACATTCCATATGGCCACACACTCCTCCTCACTGTTTACAAAAGGTTGCCACAAATGAGTTGATGTGTTCATCCATTTCCTCTGAAATCCTGAGAAGAGGAGAAGCCCTCGCCTGGGTAGGATGGACATGAGATACAGCTCCATGATGCACAGCTTCTGGGAAAGGGACTGGGGCAGGGGCAGAGGGTGAAATACGACCTTGAAATAGAGCTATTGTCACAAATCCAAACCTCAGCACTGTATGGGCTGCCGTGAAGAAAATTAACTCCATCCCAGCTAGACCCAGTACACACACCAGGGATGTTCAATTCACAAAGAAAATAAATAAATAGCTCATTCCCCTGACCTTGAGACTATCCACAGCAGCCCTACTAACACCCCTGCGAGATCCCAAATCAACTTGTCCATTTTCTCCAACATGTAGTGCTGGACATTTTCTACAGGCCAAATTCTACCCTAACTGGTGACACCTGTGCAAACACACTTAACAGTGGGGTCTGAATCAGATGGGACTGATTTCCTGATGATGTTTACCTAGGGTCATAAATGGGCAAGCAGCAACAGCCTCCTTCCCTCTGTAATGTGGCCTCAGTAACTTGGCAAGCTAGAAAAAAAATTACAGAGAAGTTTCTAGTCATGATAGTCTGCTACTATGATGGTTAAGGGGGCATGGATCTTCAACAGTAAAAATAATGATCTTAAAGCAGCTCTTCAGAGAGACAGCCTACTTGGAATAATTTTTTTCCCTTTTTTCTCTGTCTCCACAGGATGCCTTACATGAGGAAGCATAAAAATACTAAACACATGTAAACTCGTGAGCTGGAATTCTCTGGCTCCAGTTAGGCATGTAAGTCAAACCTGAAAATAAACCATTTAAAAAATAAGGCCTGTAGGGAAGACAAAACAGGTGTAGAGTGGCCACTGAGAAAATCGTTTGCCTGTTGTTCATCTCCTTTAACACCTGATATTTCCTGAGGGTTTCCTGGGATCCGTCAGGTTTGCCTTCCATGTGGGCCTGCTCTCCAAAAGCCTTCAATGTAAGGATCCAGAAAGAGGAGCTGCATAACATGAGTCCTGCTGGCTCCATGTAGAAGGATGCTCTGTATTTTTTCTTCCCCAGCATTTGAGAAATAGCAAGCACTAGTTAATATCCTGAAGCTCTCCTTCAATATTAATTACTAATCAACTTTAAAAAATAACATCCCTGACTAGAAAAGATAATAGGGTTGTGAAGACCATGTTTGGTCCAGTGGCTTACAGTTAGCCTTTTTTTGTGTCGTTTGGATTTTTTAAGTTATTAAATACTGCATTAGTAGCTTCATTACACCTCAATTTCAAGCTGCTCTCAGTTCCACTGTTTTCTGTAACTCTAGAGGTGGCATTTGCATAGGGCAGGATGAAGAATGTTACTCACAGGGTTAATTCTCTTTTTATATGCTTCAATGTGTCCATTGCAGGGGAATTAGGCAAGGCTGGAGGAACTGCAAACCAGAGCCAAGTGATGATTGATCTCTGTCGCCTCTTTCCTGCTTTTGTCTCGTGCTCTACAGATGTTCAGCTGTGTCAAAGCATCTTCATAACTTCTCCAAGGCCAAGGGTAAGCCTTCATCGAGAACAGCATTGCTTCACTTTCTTCACCTGTAGCTTTATTATACAGGTGTACCTAAACACGTATTGTTGAAGTCATATCCCTGATATGTTATGGTTCAGGGAAATGCCTGCTCCAGCCTGCTGTGGACTTGTGCCTGCAAAGATCCTCAGAGCTGGAAAAAATGTCAGGGCTGGATGGGAGTTCAAGGGTGAAGTGACTTTTCAGAAGAAACAGAACACTGTGAATTAGTCTGGAAAGTGAATAATTTGAGGTTAGTTTTCTGTATGTTCCTGTGCTGTTGCTCGAGACCATCTTTCTGTGAGGTCTTGTGAAGAAGGATTGTGATTTCTCTGCAATGAACATGTGGTTTGTTGAAGGAATCACGTATCAGGAGTTTCTAATGTGACAGCAGAGATCCAGGGTGGGGTGAAGAAGTCCTTTGAGTTTGGGGGGGGTTTTGTTTTCCTTTTAACAGTTGATCCCTTCAAAACAGTATGGGCTGATTTATTCATCTGAACTGATGTCAGTGGTATTCTGTTTATCTACTGAAAAAGTGCAGCTGAAGCTGCCACAGGTATAAGAAGAGCTTTTCTATTTTAAGCACCTGTCCATCAAGTGTATTACCATAAATTCATTTCAAGTATAGAGATCATTAAGTCACACCTTTTCATCACTATCAAATTAGATTTGGATGAAGAACATTGACATAAGACTCATTGGTTTTGTCATCACTTCTAAAGCAAACACCTTTCCTATCTCTGCATAAAATTTAAGGCAATACAGTTGTGTTCTCAAATATAAAGTGGTTTGCTTTTTTTTTAAAAAAAAGAAAAATCTGAAGGTTTGGATGTCAGCTGCTCTTTCTTCTGTGTGTGAGAAACCTGCTTATCAACTGGAGAAAGTAGTTAACGTGGCTCTTGCATAATGGAGATACTGATCTTTTATAACTGCTTTTAAAAAATTAGTGCTATGCAGGATTCTTTCTTCACCTCAGACATTTGTTTTTGACAAAATGATGATGGGACTGTACGTAACACTTGAACTGCAGAAGAAGCACTATCATTTCCCAAACAGGGCATGGGGAATGCAAATGGCAGTCTAGAATAATGAGCAAGTGTTAGCTAATTATATTTTACCTGTGCCTGCTTTATTCTGATTCTTTTTCCTATTTTAGATAGAAGACTAAGACATGGATGAGTTGCTTAAAATTAAAATAAAAAATAGAACCAACATAGTGCTTTCATCTTCAAACTCAATTAAAAGTAGTTACCATTTTTTAAAAACTTTTTCAAGGCAGGGAATTGCAAGATTACACTTTGCATGTTCTTACAAGTTCCTTTCTCTTGGCACGCAAGCAAGTTGCCAGTCATCATAGAAAATGTTTTGGCAGTATCTTTCTGACATTTTTGTGTGGGAAGTGTAAGAAGAAATAGGGAGTTCATTCTCTACTGTAACTGTTCTTTCAAGAAGTGATTTTTGAGGTGGAGTTGCTTTCTGAGAGCTAAGCAATGGGAGTTGTCGAAGATTTCCAAAGGGAAGAATTGCAAGGGTTATAAAATGGCCTTTAAAAATATATATTTATGTAATATTTTTACTACCTGAGCAATAGCCTGTTGTGAACACTTATGTGCTGTTCATGACCTTTCTTCTACCCAACTCCAGTCTCCTAGAATACAAGTTCAGTTCCTCAGATGCCTTCAGTGGGGCTTTCCTGACTTGTGCATGGGTCCTTGGAGCCCTTTGGGTCGGGAACAGCAGGGAAGCCAGAAGCAGAAAGGAGGAGTGATGCCTCCATGATGGATATTGCCTCCATGATGGATATCTCCTCCATGAGGATACCTAAAAGGCCTAATAAGATAGATTTCTTTGGAAACCAGACTCTGCACAAATCCTGCAAGTTCCAGTGAAGGGTGGGTTGTCACCACTTCCTCTGACATCGTGGGGCCCCCCAGCTGCAGGTTGAGCTGCCTCTACAGAGCCCCTTCTGGCTTCCCCCTCTCCTGTCTGGGCCAGTGGTAACACACACCAGGTGATCACAAACACTCTGCCTCTTGTTTAAAAACCACAAACCCTGATTTGACCCCATCCCAGTCTCTTCTATCCATGCTGGCATGAAGTCTGTTTTTGCTCAGTCTCAGGCCTGCAAATAAGTGAAATCCCACAGTCCTGCCCCAGTTCCATCATCAAGTAAAGCTCTGTCATGGGGTGATGGCACTACCCATTTCATGGCATAATTTTGGGAGTTACCCCGTGCAGGGCCTTGATGATCCTTGTATCTTCCAACTCAGGATATCCTGTGATTCTATGACGACTTCTTGCTTCCTTCTGCCAGGAAGGCAGATATTTACAGCAGTGGCTGTGGCCACACCTGTAACCCCAGAGCAGGACCTGAGCCCCTTTTCGAATAAAGGCTGAAATCTCCTCTGTGATCTCTTTCCACCAGGCTTTCCTTCTTCCATTAATCCTACGTAAGGAAGGAAGTAGCACAGTGACACACTGTTATCACTGCTTGTGTAATGGCAAACACTGCTGGGTGACTAAATTGCTCGGTCTTTCCCAAGTTAGCCTTGAGCCAAAAAAAGAAAAAAAAAATACACAAAATAGACTAATGCAAGTCGCAAGAGGTAGGAGAAAAAAAGGCTTTTAGAAGGACAGCGTGCAAACTGATTTCTGGAAAAGAGTGCTCTGTGTGCAAGATCCTTAAACTGTGAAGGTTTTAAAGGGCACAGTCACAGTTCTGCCATTGAGGAGCTGTTGGACTGTGGCAAGATGCAGCCCAGCTTCAGTCAAAGGAAACTTTGAGTCTTGCTTCAAGCTGATATGAAATTAAACGTCAAAGGCCCAGGACTGTTTCACTACCTTGGAAAGGAATAAATGAAGAGGAGTTTGAATGCGAGAAAGTCTTATAGTCATGAAACAGTTGGCATGCAAAAGGGATTAGTCCAAAATCCAGCCATTTTTTGAGAGAAATATTTTCCAAGCCTTCTAGTTCATTCATTTTTCCTATTTAGTTTCTTTTGTTCGGTCATTGTCAAATGATAGTACAATAATAGATTATTAAGACAGTTTCAGGGGGGCATTGGAGCATTTTTGTGTATGTCTGTGGTTTTGTTTTTACTGCAAGCTAAGCATTGGTCTAAGGAAATAGAAGGAGAGTCAATCCGGATCTGTCTTCCACCTACTTTGGAATCAAAGCAGAGAGCTGAAGAATAACATGTATCTTCAGGCTCTTGGATTCCAACTGAATTAAAATCCTGTGAAGGGCTTATCTTTGTCAGTTTACTGCCCTCCTCTTGTGCAAAGTGAAAGGTGTTTCTTTAATTTACACTGTAGTGCTGTCAAAGGCAGGGGAGTCATTTGTTGCCCTATTTGGTTGATGCTGTTATACCCGAACTTGGTACTGCTGGTAGCTCAACAGCAAATGCTGATCATCTGGTTTTATTGAGGTGAAGACAGAGGTGACTAAAATCAAGCAGACATATGTAGACATGTGAATCTCTGTCAGGGAAAGTAAGAAAATTGAGATTAGTTCATTCTTCTCAGCCTTGAGCCCAGATGTTAGACATGTTATTGATCTTATACTCTCACGATAGGCAGGACTTCTTTGTTTAATTATTACTTTTTCCTGAACAGAAGCTAGTGTGGTCATTTGACTTCTACCACGCTTTTGCTAAGAAAGTTTGGATCAGATGATCCTTGAGATCCCCTTTCAGCCTGCTATTCTATGATTCACCACTTAAGTTTTAATCTTCCTGGTTTCAATGCCTTAAAGCTACTATTTCACCCTAAAAAGTGATTTTGTTTTGTTTTTTAAGGCCTTACTCGGCAGTCCCCTTTGACACCCTCTCCTTTACTCCTGGGTGGCATTTGAGCCTTTCCTGGCTGTGGAAAGGCTCTTTCCTTTTTCATCGTGTCTGTCTTTAGGCCCTGTGAGTTTCCAAATCCCATGAAACAGGATCAAAATCACAGCCTTTGCTGTGACCCCCGTTCTCCTCCACCTGTACATGCTGTATTTTGTCTTTTCTCCTCCCCGCCCTCCTGCTCACTGTGCCCTTTCGCATGGGATGCCTGGACACTTGGCTGCTATCTCACAATCACTTTCCACACAAACCATGTTCAAATGAACTCTGAATGAAAGAATTCATCTGCAGCATCTGAAAGGGAGAACAATGGCGCAATTATTCATTAAGTTTGGTTCTGGGGAAATTCAAGGAAATTGCTGCAAATCTATTGAAACTACATTTAAAAGGTCACCCTGTGCTTTACTATTTCCAGCTGCCTCATACAGACACTTCCCCTCCTCTGTGCTCATATGTGCCCCAGCAGAAGGCTGCATCTGGCAGAGAGGAGCTCTTCCCAGCCCAACCCACTCACTCCCATGGATGATCCGCTTTCCTGAAAGGAGGCACGCTTACTTTTCAATTCAGTTTTTCTTTCCAATGTGTTCAGGAAGCTGTGTTTCCACTAAAGAAGGTCTCACTCTCCTTTTTGGAGAAGAAGCTCCAGGAATATTTCTGTAGCACATTATGTCCCATATTTGGAGTTTAAACTAGCTTATTTAACTGTTTCTGGAGCTATCAAGGAGTAACACCTCCATTTTCCTCTGCTGTTTTCCCAGACATAGCAACATTAACCTCTCAATGTGAAATGTCTTTATCTCCTGAAATTTCTAGTACTGGATTGGATACCAGCTCAAAAACTGACTACAACACTTGTCCAAACCTCAGCATCAGAAGAATACATGCAGCTCACTCTTGAGACTAGGTATGATGGCAATCAGTTGATTCAGGTTGATGATTGGCTGACACTTTGGAGGGGCTTTAGAGAAGGTGTTAGTAATGAAATCCATGTTTTGTCAAGTGATGTGTAGAATGACTTTCAGGACTGCCATCATCTTGCAAGAAGAAATTCTTGAGTACTGCTGTGTAGTTTTTAAAATTTTAGGCTCTTTTGGTAAGAATCTTTCTCACTGCTATGATAAAGTTAGTGATTTTAATTCAAACAAT